TCATATGAGTTCGGACTTCTTTGCACAAGATGAAGCCAAATCCAGCTTCTCCCTTTGGGTGCGTCCGAAGCACTGCAAAAGGAATACGAAGATGTATAAAGGAGCCGACACGATGAGCCAAAAGGCCAGCTATAATGCGGTGCAGATGGGAGGATACTTGTGCGATGCATCTGAACATGCATGCACGTACCTCTATTCAGGGCTTCATGCTTTGTTTGGTTCATCCTCAACTTCCCATTCCCTTCCCAGTGCATGCAGCAAAGCGAGTTTGACGTCCTCCACGACGAAAACATAACACTGGATACTACTCCTAGTTGCCAACTGACAATGCACATATCTGCTAATATATGGCCAGCGCCAGCCACACATGCATGCATGCACAGTACTCCTACTACAAAACAGCCACATCTGGTAGGCTCGATCAATTTGGGAGCCAGCTCAGTCACCTCTTCTAAGAAGAAACAAGGAGTGGGTACATACTCCTCCTCCTCCTCTTTATCAGATTCCTGTCACGTTCTGATCTGTTCATAAGCAGTTCCAGCTTTGCAACCGGGAAAGCCAAAGGCAGTATAACCAACAGCTGTTCTTAGCTAGTGAACGGAGCTGGAAGTTGAGATTGGGCTCTTTTGATGCACGCAGGATATATAGCACATACAGCTAGCCAGGCAACCATCAAATCGGGGCTAAAATATGGGCCAACATAGATCGCACTCAGGTCCCCCGGCTGGCTTTTTTCCTGGGGTTTCTGTTTGGCGACGTAGCTTTCCGCAGCCGCTTGGTTGCATTGCGTTTCTTGAGGTGGCGACGGTTGCGTTCATGGATCGTGATGCGTATGGCAGGCACTAGTGTGATCCACGAATTCAGCATACGAACTCCTGAACCATAATGCCCTTCTGCTTTACCGTAAAGCGCGAGAGCGACGCACCACGAAAATGGCGCCGCGACTGACTTCGCTCATGTCCTCTTGCGCTATGCTTCTTTCTTCGGAGGGATTTGCATCCATACAACTTTGTAAAGCAACAACTACTTATTCCTAGATAAATGTTCGTTCGGTGAAAATCTCAACAAACTAAGGCCATGTTCGGTTGACAGGGTTGGGGAGGGGTTTTGACAGGGATTGAGG